AGTCAACCCAACCGTGGCGACAGCTAATCCTATCAATCCCCCCTACATAGCACAACAAACATCCTAAATAAAATGAAAAATAAGACCTCAATATATACAGTACAGTAAACAGTGAGTAATAACAGGACTTGTACCAAAATTACACATCTATCTGTCATTCCAGTTACTGAATGTAATAACTCATATTTTCATATGAATTTCAAACTTCTTCTAGCATAATAATTCTGTATTTTCCACTATAATTTACAAATTTAAGGTTAAATGTGGCATGCATAATCTTGTAATTCATAAGCATATAATATTGTACTTTACAAAAACCTCCACATAGCAATTTAAATTAAAATTAAATGCATGAGAGTGCGACCTTCCAATCCCCAGTGAAAATATGACACTTTTCTTCTCCGCTATCTGGTAACAACCACCAATCACTTCAATCAAATCACAAAACTCACAACACGCTTATAAGTCTCAGAAGACTAAACAAAAATATAAGATTCTAGTACCAAGCAGAAGGGCCACTAAAGAAGAATAAATAGCAATGGATCAATACAAAATGCCCTATCACAAAAATTTGCACAACTACCAACCTTAATTAGTACCACGTTTAAAACAAAATACAAATAATCAGTGAAATCCATCACAATTATCAGAATTACAATCACGAAATAATTATTGGTTTGGAGATATCATAATAGTAGTACACTCCCAGCTGAGTTAATGACCTGGAGCATTGCAATACTAGAAAAAGCAGAATATAAAAATGTAGAAGTATAAAAAACCCAACCCCAACAAACCAAATTTGATTAATTCATTACCTTTTTGAGGCGTATCATTCTCATCATCCGGCTCTGAAACACTGAAACATCAACAAAAGAGACAGCTCATTAATTGTTATCATGCACGCTATATTGAAATAAAAACAAAATCCCAATTCTTAGAAGCCAAAATAGTTACCTTTTTAAGGCTCCAGATTCTGATCTTCATACTTTGAAACATCAATAGTAAAATTATCAGGTGGTGTTGCTTGTGCCAGATCAGTTTTAGCAACAACGGGCGCGGTCTCTAGATCAGGCGATGAAAACTCTAGGGAGCTGAAAAATAAAAACCTAAAAGCTAGACCTGAATCTCCAACTGGGAAGATGAAATTCCTCTGCAGCTTTGGTGGGAAAATGAGAGAGAGCGCGAAACTGACTTTGGGCAGAATGTGAAAGGATTAACACGTTTCAAGCGTTTGCATGTGAATGTAAATGGTCTCAGTTTTGAAGGGACCTTTGATGCCCCAATTATACGATACCATATGTCTAATAACATTTTATTATGCCCTAATTACATGATGCTATTTGTCTAATAATATTCCATCCTGTCAACGGGATATTCAGAACAATTTATACGTATTTCAATTAATCTTTCAGGTCTTGAAGTTGACAGTCTGATAAATCCCCTCAATAGCCACCTATATATTACTTCAACTTAAATGTATCTTATTTCTCTTACAAAATTAGTGTTATAACAAATTATATACCTACAATTTATCATCATCTAAAATAATTATGATTGATTTGTCAATTAGAATATTTATTCCAATATTTAGAAGAAAAAAAGCTATTTTTAAGAATTCTTGTTACATAATTTCTATTTTCTCTTTAAAAGAAACATGTTATATCAAGAAATACTTTTTCTCTAATTCTTCTTGCCCATCAAAGCTTATATGAAGTCTATCCAATAAATCTTTATCACAATCTCTTCTAGTCTTTTCAATGCACGGTATATGAACTTTTCTTCCTCCGAATAAAAAAAAGGGCCCAAAGTTTGAAGACCTAATAGAAGACCATTAGCTCCCTGAATTTTATGAAGGCTTGTTTGACTAATGTGGACTAATATATTAACCATACATATCAACTAATAATAATGATTAAAAAAAAAAATCCTATATTCATCCATTGTCTTGGGTCACGTCATTTGTATGCGAGAATTTGTGTATTAAATTTATATTAATAAAAATAATAATGTTCATTTTGGTGTAATTGAATAGAGGCCTCGATTTTGAGACGAGAGCTAAAGCAATTACCTTAATTACCTACCCTTTTAGTTAGTCGTGTGGTTAGATTTACGCGTTAACAGGATAACCATAAACCATAACCCTAACAAGTGATAAAAATATGTTATCAAAATTAATTTGACATAGAAGTTTGAGAGGCTTACATTAAAAATAGGACCAAGAAGAGCAATGTTCCAGGACAATCTCCAAGAATGGAGTTCACGAACTTGAATTACAGCTATGATTATTGCAAATAAACCTCCAGATAAGCTTGTGTGTAATGTCAGAGTTATTGGTGCTGGGTACTTCGTGATAGCTAAAGCCTGTATATTTTTTCATAAATAACATTAATATTATTCAAACGATTGTCTATATATTATCAAAAATCTAGATTACGTTTATTAGCATTAGGGATGACGGTTTAACACCGTCTATTAATACTAAAAGACAAAATTCAGTCTACCGATGATTGATATTTGTAAACCAAGTTCANAATGGTAAATTTTTTGCATCTACAGTTACCTTTTTAAGGCTCCAGATTCTGATCTTCATACTCTCCAACATCAATTGTAAAATTAGCAGGTGGTGTTGCTTGTGCCACATCAATTTTAGCAACAACGGGCGTGGTCTCTAAATCAGGCGATGCAAACTCTTGGGAGCTGAAAAATAAAAAACTAAAAGCTAGACCTGAATCTCCAACTGGGAAGATGAAATTTCTCTGCAGCTTTGGTGGGAAAATGAGAGAGAGCGCGAAACTGATTTAGGCAAACCTGTTTTCTGGTGAATGTGAAAGGATTAACACGTTTCAAGCGTTTGCATGTGAATGTAAATGGTCTCAGTTTACGAGAAAATTAATCAAGTTTTGAATGGACCTTTGATGCCCCAATTATATGATACCATATCGCTAATAACAATTTATTATGCCAAGACTTTTGATGCCCTAATTACATGATGCTTCTTGTCTAATAATATTCCACCATGTCAAAATAAAGGAATTTGAGAGTTTCAAAATGGTCACATATAGTCTATGCCTCAAAAGTGAAAAGGATGTTCGCGAAAATTTGTAAGTATCTCAATTAATCCCCCAAATCTTGAAGTTGGCAGTCGGATAAATCTCTTTAGTGGTCATCTCTATTAGCAATTCAGGTGGATCAAACTTAGGACCTCCTCAGTAATACACTCAAGAATCCTAGTTGATAGTTGGACTACCCAGTGGTGGTTAGATTGAACTATATATTATTTCAACTTAAATGTATCTTATTTCTCTTACAAAATTAGTGTTGTAACAAATCATTTACCCACAATTTATCGTCATCTAAAATAATTACAATTGATTTGTCAATTAGAATATTTATTCCAATAATTAGAAAAAAAAAAAAAAAACTATTTTCAAGAATTCTTGGGTGCGTTTGGCACATTATTTCTACCCATATTCCTAATCCTATTCCCCGAATATTGTTTGGCACATTACTTGAGAAATATTAGTATATTTTTTAATTACTTTTAGTCCCCTTAAGTTTATTAATTTCATAAATACCCCCAGAAAAAAGTTTACAAATTAACAAAAACACCCCCTAAACCCATACTTGCCAGATTCCGGCAACCACCGTATGTGGTAGCTGGAATCTGTCACAACAGCCTACACCACAACCGAAATTGGCCGGTAATTCACTGATCTGATGGCCATATATATCTTTTGCGGCCGTCGACGGCCAGATCTGGCCTTAGATCTAGCTTTTTCCAGCCAGATCCATGGTGGGTCTGGCTGGAAAAGTCCATATCAACGCCCTACCCGTCAAATCCGACTGGTCTGTGTCGTAACGCAATTTTTCACCCAGATTTCAGCGGTGGTGGCTAGAATCTAGCGCTACGGGTGGTGGGGGTATTTTTGTCATTTTATAAACATTTTATATATTATGGTGTTTAGTTAAATTAGTAAACCTATGAGGTTTTTTTCATAAATTTTTAAATCTTACCACGTAATACTTCCCTATTCAACTATCCAATATTATTTTCAAAATCTTGTCCAAAATAATAAAACAAAAGGACCACTTGTTACATAATTTCTATTTTCTCTTTAAAAGAAACATGTTACATCAAGAAATACTTTTTCTCTAATTCTTCATGCCCATCAAAGATTATTTAAAGTCTATCCAATAAATCTTTATCACAATCTCTTTCTAGTCTTTTCAATGCACCGTATCTGAACTTTTCTTCCTCCGGGAAAAAAACAAGGGCCCAAAACTTGAAGACCTAATGGAAGAGACCGTTAGCATACTGTGCAACACATTTGGATAGCTCCCTAAATTTTATGAAGGCTTGTTTGACTAATGTGGACTAATATATTAACCATACAGATCAACTAATAATAATGATTAAAAAAAAAAACCTATAATTTTTTTGGGTCTTGTTAAAAAGTGATGTAATGATATAAAAAAAATTAAAAAACCTATATTTTTTGTTTGTTTTGAATAATACGACACCACACAAACCACTTCTCACAACACTTTCTCTCCCAACCTTGACATGACATGCTTACCAATTAGTAGTTCAAACGGATCTCACATGGGTCCCATTAATTAATACCAAGTTGACTCATTGTGAAATGTACACATAGGATTATGAGAAAAGTTTGATGAAAAAATGTTGTTATAATATTATTTATTTATGTTTTTGGTCTATTAAAGAGTGATGTAATGATTAAAAAAAACTGTATTTTTTTTTTTTGGTCTTTTTGAATAGTGATGTTAAACTTTCACTCAATCACACCGTCGACGTGAAAGCATGTCTTGGTCGCTTGCCATAATAGGTCCCACCTAGCCATTTGTGCGATACCAATCAACCTTTTAAAACCCAACCCTGGGTGAAACCGCACAAAATTTCCATCCGTCCCAGTTTCACGATGACAAAAACTTTTAAAATTAAAGCAACACAACCCTAAAAATAGCAGGATCCTATAGGTTTTGAAATTTATCAAACATACTAATACAAATACGACCGGCAATTGAGGCTCGGCGACACGCCCGATCACCCCTCATCGTCCCTTGAGCCATTCCCATTAAAATATACCAAGATCTGGCCTAAATAGATTTGATTGTCGGCCAGATCTCACCGAGTCCGGCATCGACATTCCAGGCCAGGATGCCACAACGTCGACGTCGAAAACCCTGCCCCTCACCTAGAAATTACTCTATCTTCATTCGACAAAACCCATCTCACCACACCACCCGTTAGCCTTTCAATGCATGAAAAAAACCAATTGTTGTGCGGCTAGTTTTGTTCAATTTGGGTCGTTTACTCATCGGAAATCAACTCTGTCACCCACATTGCATTCACCGGAACTTTATCGCAAAACCCCAACTCCGACATGCAATGTTTTCGATTATCCTCCAAATCCTAGGGTTTAGGTGAATAGGAAAAATATAACCCGGCCACGATTTAAGCTCCAGAGTCCCGATTGAAAACGTTCAACCGACGGTGGGGCTTGTTTTAAAAAAACATTGAAACCAATGACAAGGGGTGCCAAATCGAGGTTAGGAGTAGATGTTGTAAGAGGAGAGTTGTGGACGATAACAGTATTGCTTTTAAAAGGCACTGGTATTCTGTAAACATCATTTTTGACTGACCTCTAAATATGAAAAAAGTTAAATTATGTCATGCATTTTTTGTGTTAATATTGTAGTTATTAAAACAAAAAACAGATATTTAATTCAAAGTCCTCTGGAAGCTGAATAGTCTTCTATAAGAAGCCTTATTCATTAAAGTCTTAGAGTAGAGAGAGTTAATCTAGTATTTTCGACGATAGAAATGAATCAAGGACTGAAAACCAAGGGGTAAAATAATTATATCATGATGACCATGAGATAATAATTAAAATAGCAATATTAAAAATAAAAATTACAACTGATACGTATTATTTTAATTTTATATTACTTATAATCTTTCTCTTTCTCTTTTCCCTCCAAAGAGTTATACAACCAGATAACTATCAATATTGCTCCAGAATTCTGAAATATTTGAAATTAAATTAATTAGTTTAATTACTGAAAAATGATAGACTGATCAACAAGTAAGTACTAATATATTCACGAATTAATAAAATTTAAACATACCCGCCCAAGTCAGGGCATCTCCTACTCAAATTCTAAATCTATAATGGCGGAAATTATTGTCGACTAAAGGCCTAAATGCTGTCAATTGAAAACTGGACTTCCTTCTCACCACCCCAATGTTTGAACATAAACTGACTCTCCTTGAACCTATTAATGGCGATAAATTTAAGTCATGATTTAAAAATGAGTAATATAGATATATCAACTTACTTCTCAATAGATTTTCCCACTTCATGAATATAGATTGTTCCTAGTGCAAGCAAATTGGTTCATGACTAGGCCCAGTGCATGCATCACTAATATACTGTAAATTATACAGTCAATCCCCACCATTAATTGTTTTGTTTTGTAAATCAATACATTCGAAAGTAAGAATTATAAATACCTTACATCCAGTTTTATAGAACAACAATTAGAGTACTGAACATGTACTTCTCTTTCAATAAGTTTTTTTTTGTTTTTTTTTTTTTTTTGATACTCGGTGGTGTTCATTGCTCGTTTACTCACATTTTACTTTGAAGTTAACGACAGATATCCTCTAATGATCATCTTATAGCAATGAGTGTGATCAATACAGACCTCTTGGTAATACACTCACAAGTCTAAATTGACGATTGACCACCACACCCACCCAAGGGTTTGGTGTTTCTGGATTGTAAATCCAGTAAAATACTTTGTCAAATATATAACAGAGAGAAAGAGGAAAATCTTAGATGTTGGCTATGATTCATTAATTGAATGGTCGTGACTCCAAAGACAATCCAAGTATAACTAATCCAGTAACTAAGGTTACCATCCGACTACAAGGGGAGGTTACAAATGTTTTTGGACCGTCACTAATGGTTATAGTTAAGGTGCACTCATGGATGCTTAACCCAATATTCTAATTACTATAATGAAAATTAGTTCAATGAATAAATTGTTGATCATGAGATGTAAAAAAATTAATTAAAAAGTTGACTTTATGACTCATAAGCAATTGAAAGATAAGTCCTCCGTATAACGAATTTAGGGCATGTTTGATCCAATATGTATAGCATTAAACAAATCACATAACATTGCATTGTATTATATTATATAAGATGTTGTATGATGTTTAGTAGAATATTGCGTTGCATTATTTTTAACTATACCATATTTGGTATATGAGATTACATGTATAATATTGGCTTTTTGTTTTAACATAAATTCATTTATTAAAAACTAATATATTTTTAATTATTATGTACTAATAATTAAAAAAAAAAAGTCAAAAGATGAACGTGTTAGTATCAATATTGATTAACGGAAATCAAAACACTGTTCAACACAGACCTTTGGTCAAACAATGGTCAATGTAGTTTGACCTGCCTTGCAAATTAATTATAAATATAAACTAATTAGTAGCTATTTGCTTAAAATTATTGTTGAGTGAATTACATAAGTATTCCAATTTTACTTCTCATTATTTTAGACTCGAATTGTTTAATACTAGGAGTTTTGTCACAAACCAACATTAATATTTGTGGATACAGGTTCGAATATATGCTATGTTGCCAACTACCCTAATTTCACTATATAGTGAAATCCACTTTTAGTGTAGTTGTTCACATTCGATAGACAATCAAATTTCTCATAACAAACTATTTTTTTCGTTAAGAACAGAGTATAATGACTAAATTCTTTTTTGCTATTTTTGTGTGGTTCTTTTTACATAGAATTGTACTTATCAAGGGAAATCTATAACAATGATTACCTTTTTTATATTGTTCTATTTGAAAATTGTACTGAAATGAAGTTTTGCCCTAGAAGTCTACACCTCTAACTCATTATCTG